TTGTTCAGCGGCGAGGTTGGAAGTTTGTTCTGACGGCGATGTCAGGGTGATTTGTTTGTTCAACGGCGATGTTGAAAAGTCTGTTTTGACGGCGATGTCAAGTATTTATATTCTTCAACGGCGATGTTGAGATGTTTGGCTTGACGGTGATGTCAAGTGATTTGGTTCTTCAACGGCGATGTTGAGAAGTTTGTTTTGACGGCGATGTCAAGTATTTATATTCTTCAACGGCGATGTTGAGATGTTTGGCTTGACGGCGATGTCAAGTGATTTGGTTCTTCAACGGCGATGTTGAGAAGTTTGTTTTGACGGCGATGTCAAGTGATTTGGTTCTTCAACGGCGATGTTGAGAAGTTTGTTTTGACGGCGAGGTCAAGTGATTTGGTTCTTCAACGGCGATGTTGAGAAGTTTGTTTTGACGGCGATGTCAAGTATTTATATTCTTCAACGACGATGTTGAGATGTTTGGCTTGACGGCGATGTCAAGTGATTTGGTTCTTCAACGGCGATGTTGAGAAGTTTGTTTTGACGGCGATGTCAAGTGATTTGGTTCTTCAACGGCGATGTTGAGAAGTTTGTTTTGACGGCGAGGTCAAGTGATTTGGTTCTTCAACGGCGATGTTGAGAAGTTTGTTTTGACGGCGAGGTCAAGTGATTTGGTTCTTCAACGGCGATGTTGAGAAGTTTGTTTTGACGGCGAGGTCAAGTGATTTGGTTCTTCAACGGCGATGTTGAGAAGTTTGTTTTGACGGCGATGTCAGATGATTTGTTTATTCAGCAGCGAGGTTGGATGTTTGTTTCTGGCGGCGATGTCAGAGTGATTTGTTTATTCAGCGGCGAGGTTGGATGTTTGTTTCTGACGGCGATGTTAGATGATTTGATTCTTCAGCGGTGATGCTGAATATTTGTTTTGGCGGCGATGTCAAATGATCTGATGCTTCAACGGCGATGTTGAGAGTTTATTTCTGACGGCGATGTTAGATGATTTGATTCTTCAGCGGTGATGCTGAATATTTGTTTTGGCGGCGATGTCAAATGATTTGATGCTTCAACGGCGATGTTGAGAGTTTATTTCTGACGGCGATGTTAGATGATTCGATTCTTCAGCGGTGATGCTGAGTATTTGTTTCTGGCGGCGATGTCAGGTAGTTTGGTTCTTCCAACGGCGATGTTGGATTTTTGTTTCTGGCGGCGATGTCAGGTAGTTTGGTTCTTCCAACGGCGATGTTGGATTTTTGCCTTGACGGCGATGTCGGAGGATCGTATCTTTGGATTCAATATCTGTTTGTATTTAACAAAGGACTGATGGCGAGGTTATATCTTTTTACCGACTTAGTGTCGAGGCCTGACCGTGAGGTCAGATACTTTTACCGATTATTTTAAAAATTGACGGCGAAGTCAAAACTGTTAGAATTGACGGCAAGGTCAGAAGATTATTTTTGAAGGATTGACGGCGAAGTCAGGGGTTTTACCAAAGTTCTGTGAAAAATTGACGGCAAGGTCAGATTATTCTGAGGATTGACGGCGAAGTCAGAAGACGATTTTAAAGAAATCTTGACAGCAAAGTCAGAAAATATTGTAAATTTGACGGCGAAGTCAGATTGTTTGAGAATTGACGGCGAAGTCAGATTATTTTGTGGACTGGCGGCAAAGTCAGGTGGTTTACCATTTAGATATTGAGTTCTAACGGCGAGGTTAGACGCTATTAAAGTTGACGGCGAGGTCAGACGTTTGTACTTGATTTATGACTGACGACGAGGTCAGATGTTCTACTTGATATAGACGCCTGATAGCGATGTCAGAAGTTCGGATCGCGGTTGTCAAATTTCCGGGTCCTTGGGTATTCAACCGTCTTTTACCTTGAATGTCTGAAAGTCGCTTACCTTTCATCCCTTCAGGTCTAAGTCGCTTGAATAGGGGCAGCTGTTGTACCCCAAAATTTGCCCTACCTTTTCTCCATTTGGTTTATGTTTCATTTCATTGCATTAGCATATCACATTGCATAAGCATACCCCAAATTTGCCCTACTTGTATGCATTTCTCATTTATACATCCTTCCATTCCTCATAGTCAGAAAATTCAAATGCTTTATGGTGGAGAATTACATGGAGTTTTGTTCTTTTCAATTAAGGCATATTCATGCTCATTGGATTCAAGTGATAAAGTTCATTTGATTCATCAGCAGAATAAGTTTTAATTCAATCAAAGGCACAAAATTGATTCGTGATTGATTTTAAGACCTCTTTCCTAAGTGAGAATCCAAAATGGTGGAATTTGGTTCATGAGACTTTTTTTGGAGTCTAAATTCAAGGGCATGAATAGCCAACCAAGGCCCATTTATAACTTCAAAATTCCATACATTTAGCATACATTACACAAAAAAAGTCTACAAAAAAAACTTTTCCTTGTGAAGATGAAGTCCATAGCCAAAATATCACAACAAGTTTCTACATAAATATACAAGCCCATTTCAAAATAAATTCATCACCAAGTACAAGTTATAAGATTGATAAAATCCAGGTCCATGCATCAAGTCTCACTCCAAAGTAGCCCATGAAGTTTCTACCTCCAAGCTGCCCCACAAATGTTCCTTCAAAATGTCACAGCACTCCAAGTCGTACAAACGGCATATGGTTCATAGTTTGAAAATGCAAAATCTTTATCTTGTGTGACATACTTCCATGAGTCATTTCAACAGATATTATTTCCCAACACAAAGAAGTGCACATTAAAGCCTTAAAGGAAGTGCCCCAAGAGGCTCCCAAAGATGACTTAACAGGGTTCCCCCCTGAAGTACCAATTGAAGCTCCCATTGAGATTTACAAGGAAGCAGATACTGTATCCAATAGCCATGAAAGAAAAGGGCTAATCAAAATCAAGGTTAAACGATCTTCTGCCAACAGCAGGGCTGATACTGATAATCAAATGATTGAGCGCTCTTTAGGTGCTCGTAATGATATTGATCATGGAGCTAGCATGTTCTTGCACACCTAAAGACACCTATGAAATGATTAAAAGCCAGGCCGTAGAGAACACTGGGATTCGACGAGAAATAAGCTTCAAACATGTGATAGATGAATCTCTGAATGCTAACTCATTTTCACCTACAAAACTTATAGAATATGTGAAAACACTTTCTGAGTTGCCTACTGGTGGCTTTGATCGCTTGGAGCTTGTGACTGCTAAGGCTCAGCTGCTTGCTTTTAATCGTTTTAAGGGTTTCTCTTGCTTGGCAGAAATACAACATTGTGGAGTCGCTAACAAGGACAATTCATTTGTTGACGATGAACAAGATTTGTGTGAAGTTAATGAGCATACAACTCCTGCATTTAATAAAGATGATCAAGCTGGTCCTGGAAATTTTAAAAATCCTAGCAGCACCCGTCAAAAGCGTAAGTATAATTTCAAGAATGCTATGCATCCCACAAAGAAGGAAAGAAAGATGTCAGACCTAATGAACGGGACTCCAGATTCTTCCGACGATGATTCTTGGACTCCAGATAGTGTTGTTTCACCTGAACCTTCCAAGAAAAGGAGATCTGTTGTTCCCAATGCCGATGACTCTGAAATGCAAGATGGGACAAAGGCCATTTCCGTTGGAAAAGGCTCAAATACCACAAAATCTTCGTTTAACATTGGTGACTGTATTCGTAGGGCTGCTAGTCAACTCACTGCGTCATCTTCTATATTGAAGTGTTCTAGTGACCAGTCTCCAAAGACAGACGGAGACATTGATGGTTTTCCCGAGAATGAAACTGTTGAGGATGATCAGATCACAAGTGAATATTCTTCTCTAAATGATTTGCTATCTTCACTTCAGTGGGTGGCACAAGAACCCCTTGCAGAATATACTTTTCTTAATGGCATAGTGAGCTTCTTCTCTGATTTCAGGAATTCTGTAACTGTTGCTGCTGATTGGAAAGAGGTTTTACGTATGGATAAAATTGGTGGTTTTAAGAGGAAGAGATCACCCATAGCTGGAACTGGATCACCTGAGACATTTGAATTTGAAGACATGAGCGACACATATTGGACTGACAGGGTCGTTGACAATGGCAATGAAGAGAAACTAGTTCAACAACCATCACAGAAAAACCAGAAAAAAGACGAACAACCTGTCACCGCCAAATCACCAAGGACCAGCTCCTAATGATGAACTGCAGCGTATACTTGCCAAGCATGAATCCATAGCTTCAGGACCTACTGTCAAAAAAATCAAACAGAGAAATCAAAGCCCATGTTTTTTTTTATAGTTCCAAAAGTAGAATTACTTTGAAGTTGGCATATAGGAAAGAACCTGGTGAAAATATGTGTAATTAAAAGGAGCTGTAGCTGCAATGCATCACTGTGAACAGACAGAATGTAGGTCTCAACTAAATGCATGTGAACAAAAAGCAGCAACTTGAACTTCTAGGGATAATAAGGTGATGCTGGGTGGTTTAATAGTCTGATGTCCAAAAACACCCTTCAATGGTGTAAACTCTGATTCATCATCATCGCTGTCAATGTTATCAGGAGTATGCCTATTCTGGTATGCTCTGCGCTGCAAAAGAAAGACATTGAAGTAGTAGTTGACTAAACTTTCCCTGCTCTTCTTAGGAAATGCTTTGAAAATATCATCCCAGAAACGTCTATCGAGCGAAGCAGGATTCGATTTCACTACATCTTTGAACTTCTTCTCTTCTTGTGGTGTCCATCATCGCCTAACTTCTTCACCTATCTTACCTAAATTCCACTGATAAAAGGCCACGCCTAATTCCAACTTGAGTTTAGCCCTTTTCTCAGCAATGTGAAATCGAACGCACTCAACAGAACCTTGTACTCGGCATTTACAAGAATTGCGTCTTCCAATCCCAACAGATTCCCTGCCCAAAAGTCTGGATTTTACAGTTTTTAGTGGCCATATTTGATTTCCTAGCCACCTAGAATCACTCTCATGAATCGTCCCAGTCCATTCAGGCACCTCAGCTTGATGGTTTGGCCCAAGAGGAATGTTCACAATGGGAGATTCTCCTCATAACAGGAACTTGATCAAACAACACCAGCTTCGTATATACGAAGAATCACAATCGTACCTTCGCGAACAGAACCTTTCACTACTCCGCAAATTGAATCAGAAAGAGAAACTCCTTCAACGCTACAAGTCTGAACAGGATATGAATGCGCGAGCTTTGAAGAAGTTTGAATTGGAGAATCAGAAACTTGCTTCCGCGTGTCAGGAGTTGTTGGATAGAGGGAATAATTTGGAAAAGGAGATTGCTTTGTATGAACATGATAGGGAAGCGTTGATGGAATTTGGGAATGAAGCTGATGAACGAGAACAACAGGCGAGATCGCGTGTTTTGGAATTGGAAAGGAATTTGCAATTCGTTATGGATGAATTGAAAAAATTACAAGCATCAAAAGGATTTAAAGGGTTCTTCTCCTTACTGCTCTGTTGAGATAAAGAATTTACTTGACTCTCTTTTGGAAACACTTGTAAGCAAAGATGATGATTCTACACATGCCTTTTTGAAAGCAAATCTTGAAAACGGGTCATGTAAAAGGTTGCTGAGTATGTGGAACTGCCTAAAGCCATCAACTCATAGAGTTTTGTCTCTAGTTGCCAAAATCAAGTCACTTCAAAAAGATAAGGAGCATCTAAGAATTAACCTTCACAAAGCTGAGGAGGAGGTCAAATTATTGTTTGATGAAAACAGCATATTGGACAAGGAGAACAAAGCAGCCAGACCAACCATTCTGCTATCCCTGCTTTAACTCATCCCACACCAGACCAAATCCTGCGCCATTCTGCTACCAACAGACAATGCCAGCTACAACCACTACCCTGCTACAAACTCACACCAGACAAACAGCCATGCCAGACAAGCTCTGCACCAACTGTACCGGCCTGCTGCACTCTGCTACACAAGCATACTCTGCTAACAACAGCAGCCTGTAAAAAAACCATCCCTCAAAACACAATAAAACCACCACTTGCATAAAACACTCACAACACATCTTGAATCATTCACACAAACTACACTTCAAGAATATAAACCATCACTCCTTAATCACAATAACATACTCCAATCTCTTTAACATATCACCGTTCCTCCTTAGAACTTCATCAACAACCTTCAACCTTCAGAAAACCATCTCCATACTATCCAAATGAAGCTACAACTCTCTTCACGCTTCAACCTCTGAACCGAAAATTCCTTCAAACCAAGCTCTCCTTCAAGCCTCAACGACAACAACCTTCACCATTAATCATCTTCAGATTCAACACTCTCCAAACAAAACTCGTTCCAACTTCCATCGTGAATCAACCACCTGTAAAGAAAACGATCAAAATCCAACCACACTTCAATATCAACTCGTGATTCATCCACCATCTTCGCATTCTATCAAACCTGTTTCACACAACCACCTTCAACTCAAAACATGTAAACAGCATCAAGCATCAACATGTTTCAAGACACAATAACGTCTTTCTAACCCCCAAGTCTTCCTCACCACTGCAAACAACATCGCGCCTCCGTTCGTAGCGGCAACAAGACAATGACTGCATCAACCTCCATCTAGCTAGCAGAAGTAGGGTGCACGAACTTGACCTGAATCCTTTTCACAAACAGCTGGTGTGCACAGGTTCACGAACAAAAAAAAAACAACAACGACGTTGTCTCCACAGCTCCGAAATAGCCCTCAAAAATAAGAAAATCACTTCATCACTCGCTCCAAAAATCAACCTCCCTCACGACCAAGCTCATCATTGTAGCGTAACCTCCCCACTACTGCCCACTCTTTGCTCGCTCTCTTCAACCTTCACACGCCCAAATCCTTCAACCAGATCCAAATTGAATACAAATAAGAAGGAGAAGCAGGATGGTGACATAAACAAGGCCGATATGAAGAACTGTCGAATGAATTAAGACTAGGATGATGGTGATGTTATGTTGAACTTTATTCCTTGCGAATCGATTCACCACCGCGTGAGAGAAATCCGTCGAGAAGAGATCAATCACACCTTTAGCTTCAACAACTGAACCAGAAGCGAAGCTTTGACAAGACGAGATCGAAGCGAAATCAGTTAAGGATCTCCAGGCACAGAATGCACAGTTCCAAGAGCTGATCCTGAACCTATCCAAGGGGCAGGATGAATTGAAGACACTGCTGGCCAAGAAGACTAAGAAGGCTAGAAGGCCTGCTGGGTTGCTCAACATGGGAAGAAGGTTCAAAGGTCCTGTCAAGACCAAGGAACATGTTGAAGACTATGAATCTGAAGAATCTGAGCAGGAGAGAGGCAGTCTCCACAACACTATGGGGGACTCTGATTCTGAGGCTAACTACTACCATGAGCCTAACGAAGACAAATTCAAGATGCTGGTGGATAGAATGGATGCTATGGAATTACAGAAATCATCTGGGCTGGATTTTGAGGATTTGAGCTTGATATCTGGGGTGGTCATACCCATTGGGTTCAAAGTTCCTACATTTGTTGTCTATGATGGGGTCTCTTGTCCCAAATTGCATCTGAGGTCTTATGTCAGAAGAATGCAACCCCACACTGCTGATAAAAAGTTGTGGATCCATTTCTTTCAAGAGAGTTTATCTGGAGCTCAGCTAGAGTGGTATTATCAGTTGGAGAGTGTCAATATCAGAGATTGGAATGACCTTGCTGAAGCTTTCTACAAGCAGTATCAATACAATGCTGACTTAGCCCCCACTCGCATGCAGCTTCAAAGCATGTCTATGGGTGCCAAAGAAAGCTTTAAGGAGTATGCTCAGAAGTGGAGAGACTTAGCTGGAAGAGTTCAACCCCCTTTGACTGATAGGGAGTTGGTTGATATGTTCATGTGTACGCTGAATGGTCCGTTTTACAGTCATCTCATTGGAAGCTCATCATCTGGCTTCACTGAGTTGATCATGACAGGAGAGCGAGTAGAGAATGGTATCAAGAGTGGTAAGATCCAAGTGGGCACTTCTTCATCAGGAGCTGCAAAGAAGCCTCCCACTGGGAAGAAAGAATCTAATGTTGTGTATGGTCAGCCTGATCGTAACAGAAGGCATCAGTCTGTTAGTGCAGTTCATATTTCAAATCCAACTCCTGCAACAACAGAGCAGCCTCAAGGCAACCAACAGAGGGCTAGAAGACAGTTCACGAAGATCAACATGTCAATGGCTCAGGCATTGCAACACTTGTTGAAGGCTGAACTTATTACCCTGAGGGAGGCTCCTCAGAATCCCAATGTTACCTCTCCCAAGTACAATCCCAATGCACGATGTGCATATCATTCAAACTGTCCAGGACATGATACTAATAACTGCTGGGTCTTGAAGAACAAAATTCAGGATATGATTGATGCTGGAGAAATTGAGTTTGATCCACCAGGTACTCCAAATGTGATTACAGCTCCAATGCCAAATCACGAGAAGACTGTCAACGCCATTGATGAAGATATTGATGAAGATCTGCATGTCTATTCAGTTATGGAGTTGAGCACACCATTGTCTGTTATCAAAAAGAGGTTAGTACAAGCTGGGATCTTTCCAGGTTGTCATGAAGATTGTCTATATTGTACCTATAAGCCGGATAGTTGCTTCATTTTGAGAGATGGGATTCAACGTCTCATGGATAAATATACTATAGTGTTTGAAAGAAGACCAGCATCTGTAGAAAGTATGGTGGATCATCTGACTCAGGGTAAGAAGATTGAAGAGGTTGACATGGTTGACAAAGTACCACTAAGAATCACTTCAAAGGGTCCCATTAAAATCACTCATCAGGGCCCAATCAAGATTACTGCTGAAGGTCCTGTGAAAGTTGTTGCTGAAGCCAGAGTAGCTCCTCTGATCATTACCACTCCTGGTCCTATTCCTTATACATCTGACAAAGTTGTGCCTTGGCACTATGGGTCTGATGTTTACATCCATGGTGTCAAGCAGGAGCCTTTACCTGATATGCCTATTGACATTGATAATATTGCTGGATCTAGCAAGATCACTCGTAGTGGAAGAATCTTCTCTCCTCCAGTTGCTTCTAAGAGTGCAGTTACTCCTGCTGTTACTTCCACCACTGATGCTCGGGGCAAGGGTCCTGTTATTGAGCCTGTATCTACTGATGTGCCAGCTGCTGATGACCTCTCTAAGCAGATGGAAGAAGTATTGAAAATCATTCGCAAGAGTGATTATGATATTGTTGATCAGCTGGGGCATACTCCCTCAAAGATTTCTATGCTCTCCCTGTTATTATGTTCTGAGGCTCATGCCAAGTCATTGATCAAGTTTCTAAAGATGGCTCATGTACCCAGTGCAATTTCTGTGGACCAGTTTGAGAATTGTGTTGCTCACCTGACCTATGACAACGGGTTAGGATTTTCTGATGCTGACTTGACCCCTGCCAAGAGGGATCATAACAGGGCCTTGCATATTTCAATTGAATGCAGGGGCACTACCCTGTCTCATGTGCTGATAGACAATGGTTCCTCTCTGAATGTGTTGCCTAAGGAAGTCCTGAACAAGTTGAGTCCTGAAGATACGGTATTGAAGCCCAGTAATATTGTGGTAAAGGCTTTTGATGGTTCTAGAAGAGTAGTGCATGGGGAAATTGATCTTCCAATCAAGGTTGGCTCTCAGGTGTTCACTGCTACATTCTATGTGATGGATATTCGTCCTTCGTACTCATGTCTGCTTGGTCGTCCCTGGATCCATGGGGCAGGTGCTGTGACCTCCACATTACATCAAAAGTTGAGATATCCGGTGAATGGAAAAGTTGTTACTGTCTTTGGAGAGGAAGAATACTTTGTCAGCCATGTAAACACTTTCAAGTATCTGGAAGTAGAAGGTGAATACATTGAAACTCCATGTCAGTCATTTGAAGTGGTTCCCTGGGCTGTTAAGGATTGTGTGACTCCTCCTGCTGTGAAGAAGGTTCCTGTGGTCATCAGAAACCCTCCAACAATGGCAATGGCCTCCCTCAATGATGCAAAAGCTGTGGTGGAAGAAGGTGGTTGTACTATTTGGGGTCAGCTTCCTGATATTCCATACAAGTCTGACAAGTTTGGTTTGGGTTTCACTGCAGAGTCCCAGAAGGCTGTTCGTCGTGCTCGTGCTGTTCGTATCACCAATCAAGGGGTTATCAATGCTGTGGGAGATCAAGATGAAGACTACAACTTGGAGGCATGGATTTTCCCTACTGTGGGTGCTGGACTCAATAATTGGACAGCTGAAGATGTTATCCCTATCTCCTTTAGTCAGGAGTAAATACTATTACTGTGTTATGTTTTTAAATTTATAATTTCTGGAACAATTAAAACTTTCAAGCCATGTGCCTTACCCGGGGCACAATGGTGTGCTTGTTACGGGTTGTCATTTCATTTGCATACTTCATTCAATAAAATCAGTGGACGTTTCGTTTTCGTAAATATTGTGTTCCTTGTCTTTCTTTTTCTTTTATTTT